AAAAAAATGAACTGAAAAGCATAAACTATTAGCAAAGCACAATTAAGCACCGGCCTGCCAACCGCTTTATATGCATACAAGAGGGTTCCTTTGTCTTTGCTCACGATCAATGCTGGCAGCGATTTGATGACTTTGCACTCAGAAAAAAAATTGCGAAAAATATTTTCCATCAACAGATGATTTGGTTATCGTTACATTTGTTGGTTATAGTTACCAAATCATGTCGCACGCTTAATAATATACAGAATTATTTCAAATTTCAATTTTGTGCGAAAACGCATTCAAAGTTTGTTCAATTCATACATGTTCTTCTTCTTCTTTTGTGGCGCTGTAACCGCCTAAGCGATTTTGGCCGAGTTCAGCAAAGCACGCCAGTCGTTTCTCCTCTGTGCCAACTGACGCCAATTGGAAACGCCAAGTGAAGCCAAGTCCTTCTCCACCTGATCTTTCCATCGCAGTGGGGGCCTCCCTCTTCCTCTGCTACCACCAGCGGGTTCCGAGTTGAATACTTTCAGAGCTGGAGCGTCGGTGCGGCCAGCGGAGCCGCTGTATTTTAATTCGCTGCACTATGTCCATATCGTTGTAAAGCTCATACAGCTCATCGTTCCATCGTCTGCGGTACTCGCCGTCGCCAACGCGTAAAGGACCGTAAATCTTCCGCAAAATCTTTCTCTCAAACACCCCAAGAGCCGCCTCATCGGATGTTGTCATTGTCCATGCTTCTGCGCCATATACCAGCACGGGCATGATGAGTGACTTATAGAGCGTGGTTTTCGTACGTCGAGAGAGGACTTTACTCCTGAATTGCCTACTCAGTCCAAAATTCATACATGTGATATACCAAAATACAGTTCTAAGACACATATCGCACACCGTCTTAAAAAGAGTCACAACTCCGGCCTTTGCTGAAAGGTAAATAAGAGCGCTGCGTACATTTTTCGGGCATATTCTCAAAAATGCCAAATTTTGCGTTGTGACTCTTTTGAATACGGTGTGCGATATCTTCGTCATTTTTGGGAAGTTTAGTCATCTATGAGGCTAAACATATCTTCCTTATCATGCTTATTAATTGAATGAGGAAATCTCCAAAAAACGTAAATTTTGAATTACCTCTCTATATTATTAAACATGCGATGTGCTGAGAAAGATATTTTTAGCTAATTTTTTTGGGTGTGTTGCGGCTGCGTATTACCACCGGATCGCTATCACTTCAGCAGCATTCCACAAAACTCTTTCGAGTAATTTTATGCTTACAACAACATCATCAGCAAATGTAAGCTTCAAAACTTACAGTAAACGCTAGAACTTTATTTCAAAATTCATGCGTAGCTAATGAAGCCATTTTAAATATATTTATCGAGTTTTCAGAGATCACCTAAAGAGCGCAAATTTTCATTGACATATTTATCTATCTGCGTAAATTTCATCATCGGTAAATTTTTTTTGCCAATCGGCACTTATCCACACATTTACCTTCAAATAACAATGGCAATAAAAAAATATGAATTTAAAAACAATTCTTTAATAATTCTTTATAGGCAAAGTTTTGCTGCAGACAAATTCTTTGTTGAATACAGAAGAAATGCATTTGAGCATGAAGCAGATGAAACAGATTCCGTACAGTTTTTTTCATTTGACAAAAGCGCGGCTAGAGTGCATTCACTTCTGTGGCATCATCAATCTGTTGGATCTCTGAAAATAGCAAAAAGAAAATATTAGTACATATTTATTTATCAGTGATTATGTACACATCGCAATATTTACCCTGAAAATGATTTTGCATGCTGCGACGTTAGTTCATCCTCCTGATTACCCAAAGCTTTTTTAACGTACTGTAAATAGAGAGAAATATTTAATACTGACAATGGCGCGGATGTGCTTTATATTTTTGGCATTCCTTCATAATTCTTTTACCTAACTTAGTAAAACTTTCAGTTTTCTTTTCATAGTGTTTTTTTTTTCTAATTTACTTACCAGGGGATTCAGTAAAATCTCCTCTTCCATTTTGTTTATTTGCCGTATTAGTTCCATCGTTTGTGCCATATCCTCTTGGATTTTAAGGAACATTTCAGGGGAGTTATATTTTTCCGGATCATCTTTGAACACCACCATTCCGTCTTTTTTATTTATAGTTGCATAAATTTCCCCTGATTTGATCTTTATGCGAAATTGAAAAAAGGTTAGAAAAGTATTTCAAATCAATTTATGAAATCTCACCATATTAAAAATATATTTTTCCGCTTCGGCAGCATCTGCAAGTTGAGCTCTACTAGCAACGTCGGAAAGTGAGAGCGTCAAAAATGTTTTGGTTAACCGCTGTATATTTTTCTTATATAGCGAAGTTACAACCTATAAATTAATTTAATTTAGTTAAAATACTTGCTTTACAAAATAGTTAATAAAAAAGAAACTATGAAGTAACAAAAGATTTATAGTCTTTACCATAAATCAATGCACGCATACCTGTTTAACTAAACCCATATTTTTATCTCGAGTAAAGGTGTCACTAGATTTATTCATAACAATTCGTAGTTCATCACTGGATGAGGTTGAGTAAGCGGTTGCTAAGTCGTGATAAGCCTGAGCGAGCGGTTTCATAAATCTCGAAATCACTTGTGCTGAATATTTTGGTATCGGCAAAACCTTTCCGTGCAGAATCAGAGAAACTAGTAAAAATTTCTTATATGCCTCCAACATTATGTGAGACATGGCTGCAGCGGGCGTTGATATACACACTTCAAAGAAGTACAAGGCGCGATCGAAGTTTTTAACGGCAGTGTATATCATGCCACCATAATAGTAGTAGAGTAGAAAATATTTGGCGTCATTGTTCGCTTCCTGTAAAATATAATAAAATTAAATTCGAGTGCTATAAATTTGGAAAGACCCTAATTTCGAAACATTTCAAGTTTTTTAAGTAGGCAATTTTGAATTGGCGTTTACTGCAGTGTTGTGAAATGGTTCTTAATCTGATAATTTGTCAGAGGCTGCATTTCTTTATTCATTCTGAACGTTTGGAATAAATTTTTGTTTACTTATTCTGTAGAACGCTCCTGATGATATGTTAACATATATTTCAATCGCATTCTTTTTAATCTGGCGGTGAAATGGGATTATCCGGAATGTATAAAAAAACGCAGCCAGAGTATTAGCTTATAAACCTCCGAAGAAAAATCTTTTATACATATTTATGTTCAGAGGTTACCAAAAGAAACTACGTACAACTTTTTCTTATCACAAGGAGGAACATTTTTTTTAGACATAAGTCGAAACTAATGTTATGTCGTATAACATAATGCGCAACACTGCGGTAATTATTAAAAATCAAACACACAGATTTTTACATACAGTTGAGTTTTGCCCTCGTATCTCCGATGCAGTTGATATGGTGGTAATGTCTACATCCAGAAAGCTTAACGCTGTTTTGAAACACTTTGATTTTAAACTCAGCTGACAGAGATCGGAGTGAATGCTGGTTTGTTGAGAGTCGCAGAGACGAATTTTTTCGATGGCTTGTGCTACTACTTTAATGCCCTGAATGCAGTACGGGTGATCAACGATGAGGTTTGTAAACATGTGGCATAGATCATAATCTGTTGTAGATTCAAGACAAATAATAGAAGTTTTCAAATATGTACAGGCTGACTTAAATTACCACTTTATACTTACATGTATACGTAGCGTACCGGACCTGCTCTCCGTTGCATTGACTTATAAATTCTTTGTAAAGGTTGAACAATTGTGGCAAATCTGCATTTGCATTCTAAAAATATTAAATTAATTATTTGCAAGCTTTTTATATGCTTTCCTATTTTAACCAACCGCAGCACCATTGAATTTGACTAGCAACACGTAAAGTACGCCCAGCGAATGCTGCTGAAAATCCAACGTTTCCAGCACGTTATCTAGTAAGTCCAAATACCTTGAAAGCACCTCGACAGAGTCATTAAGTTGTTCCACCATTATGCGAAAGTTTCCTATAAGAAAATATTAAACTCATTTTGGCAAGCCATTGTGAAGAACATTGGAGTTGATAAGTTATTTGCCGGCATGCGTCTAGTTCTCGGACTTGGTTGAACGGTAGCTGGAACCGTCTTGAGCTCTATATCGACACCCACCTTCGGAACTCTTTGTCCGCACATTGTTAACATAGTTCTCCAATGCGGTGGCCATCGCTTTGTAATTAAAAATTTATATTTTTCGCAAAGTTTACAGGCAAATGATTTGACTAAAAATTCATTATTTGTCAATTGCAAACTCTGCTAATTCTTCTTTGTTGCTATGCGAAACGGTTTGGGATATTTATGCACTAGCAGGAACCGGTTTGGGACCAAATACACTACCGGAATCGGTTTGGGATCAAATGAGTTTTGGCAGAGAACGTATAGTTATGACAGAGAACGTATAGTTATGAGAAGATGCAAATCATAAATCTGCTCTTCTTCATTATTTTCTGAAACGTTTCAACCAGAGAACGTTTATAAATGAGAAGGCGCATTTCCAGTGGACCGTTTTTGTTGCGCAAAAATTTTGGGGTGCAGTCGGCCAAATCTGGCTTCACGCTTAGTTCTCTAAGTTCTAACTGTCAAGCAAAGCGAGGAAAGTCGTATGGTTCAATAACATCCCTGCAAGCCACAGCTAACCAGTTGCCCCTGAAATTCAACAGATTTACACACACACTCGCAACTTTTTAGCTATGCTACCCACACATTTACAAATTTATTTTTCCGACTGTTAAAACAAAATTCTGAGTGAGAGAACCGGACCTAATAAAAATTTTTACTGTAATAAGAATTTTATGCGTTAGAGCGAGTAAGTGGAAATGAAGCAAAATTTGACAGCTTTGATCACAGAGGCTGTGACTTTAGCAAAAGTTTGACATCTTTGATCACAGTAGGCTGTAAATAAAAGCGTTAATTTTGCAAAAACATTTGAAGGTAAGAGAACGTTTTAACAATTTGCATTGTTTATAATGGAATTTTTTTTCTTTTAGATTGCCGAAACATTGCGATTTAATCATATAATTAAGGTATGTATTAGAATTATTCACATATTTGTATATTTTAATTGATAATTTTGCATTTACAAATTTGCGATTTTTCATTCTAAATTTATCTTCGACCCTGCTACCACGGAACATCAACGCCACCTCCAGTCAGGCTCCACACCAGCATATCCACCACCTTCAACGCCGCCACCAATAAACAGCGCTGCATACATTATTCGGTAAGTTTTCATGCGACGAATAAACGTTGCTTCTGCTGCAACTGCCTACATTAATCATGTTCCTGGTGCTTCCCGATTTGCACATTTCAAAAGAAAAGCTGTTTTTGCAATTAATAAACCTTATGGCGTACAGAAACAGCTTCCTCTAAAAACCTGCGAAGCGTGAAGTACCTGGAACAGGCTTATTTAGTGCGTTCCAGAACGTCTACGATTTGCAGGTTTTGCAGGATTTAGTCCAAAGTCGTTCCCGTACGCCACGTTCACATAAGGCTTATTAAAGGCAAAAACAGCTGTTCCGGAAAACCTGCAAATCCTGCAAATCGTGAAGTACGGGAACAGGCTAATTATGTGCAAATGTAAACAACAAAAGAAAGTGCAGTGTTTACATATGTAAAAAGTGTAGTAGGTCAGCCTTTGCAGGTTTTCCAAAACGAGTCAGTTCAACAAGTTGTAAATTGGAATTTCATGGTTGTGCGCTTAAAAACTGATATGTTTTGGAAAACAGTCTTTCTTACGATTATGCGATACCTTTTTTATGTGCATATATTTTCAAATTTAGGACTGGTGAATGCGGTCATTCTGGAAGCCATAGTTTACAAAGTGTAGTGCACAGTTCAACAACAGTGATTGGGTTTGCTACTTCATAGCAGCAGTGGAAATGGAAACATTGCTCTGCTATTGCTACTTCTCTACTTGAATAGATAAGAAGCACGGCCAGAATCGGAAAACACACGAGGACCTTCCTTGTTTTACTTGGTTCTATGTTTCGTTGAGGCACAGATCAGGTAGGAGAACTAAAATATGAACGAAGTGATATTTGTAGTCAGAGTAATAGCACATACAACAATATTATGATAGCCTCAACGAAACATAGCACTAATTAAAACAAGAAAGGCCTTCTTGTGTTTCCCGATTCTGACACTGCTTCTCATCTATTCAAGTAGAGAAGTTGCAATAGCAGATCCACGTTTCCGTGCCACTGCTGCTATGAAGTAGTGAACTCAACCACTGGTAGTTGTCATAATTCGCAGTAGTAACAGTTTAACATGAAGGTAGAATTTTTATTTTTGGATTCCTGATACGAATAAGTTTATTTTAGTTCCGATTCTGCATAATCTTTTTTTTTCCTTCTCTTGAAGCAATGGATTTGTCACCACTGTTCCTGGGAGATACCGAAGCCCTCTCTCCACCACGCACGAGCAACACAGGTATTTCGAAAATATACATACATATACATTTACAATATGTTTAATAGTTTTTAATCAAACATTCCTGCGCTTTCAGATGTAGCCCTACATAGAAAGCGCTTTCATGTGGCACTGCCTTACGAGGAGCGCTTTGTCTCCCAGCCAACAGTAACCACCAACACGGGTGTAGCCACTACAACAACAACAAGCAACACAGGTCAACAATTTACCTTGTCTCACCTGCTGGAGAGGCAAAAAGAAATGTTTGATGGCGTCATGGCCGCCATTGGAAGGGTTGAGTCAAAGGTGGACGGAATAGCAAATGCTCTGGCCGAAAAGGTTATATCAATGTACATATTTATGAATGCTAAAATTATTGTTTAATAATTTAATTTTTTTTTCAGATGCCCGAACGCGCGGAAGTTCAAGCTCAAGGGCAGCTACTGCGAGAGTGCAAAGTGGTGACCTAGAAAGTTCACCAAAGTATTTCCCGAATCACTGGAGATGCTATTAGTAAAGAGCATACTTTGCTTCAAAGTATGCTTCCACTATCATCCCAGGAAAAGTTAAATACTTTGGAGAATCTTTTGGGAAACAAACCACACTCCGATGCGATGGTAATTTTTGCTAATTTTTTTATTGTTTTTTATACACATATACAAATGTATGTATATATCATATTAGTTGTATATATGCATTTTATTTTACTCATATTAATTTTTATTCGTATATACATATGTATGCAATTTTTTTTTATTAAAATTTGGTTTATAGTATGTATAACAAAAATCGTAAAAACCAAAGTTCCAAACTTTGTACAAATAATAGGAAAATTCGATAAAATTTAATTTAATTTTCATGCACTTTTCCAGCTTTTTGATACGAATTTTAAAAATGTTTTGAGTGTGCAATTCTGTAGCCCACTGATTTTTAGTATAATAATATGCAAGTTTGAAATTTTCACAAATGCGATTTTTTTGTGAACGGATTGGCTTACTTTCTCCCATACAAAAATAAACTCAATCACACAAAAGAAAATCTAAAAAATGCCGCAAATTTGTAGAAACTTAAAACTTAAATCTTATTATAATAAAATTCAGTGGACTATAAAATTCCATACTCGAAATATTTTTACAAATCGTATCAAAAAGCGGGAAATGGGCATGAAAATTTATGGAAATGGTTTGTAGGATTTTTGTTGTACTATGAGCCACTTAACTCTATCTTTCAAGAACACGCAAAACAGCATATGTCAACAAAACATATTTTACCGTCAAAGAGAACTATATTATAATTAAAAAACAGAATACATATTTAGCTTGTTCCCGTACTCTAGGATTTGCAGGTTTTACAGGAACAGCTGTTTCTGCCTTTGATAAACCTTATGTGAACGTGGCGTATGGGAACAACTTTGGACTAAATCCTGCAAATCGTAGACGATCTGGAACGCTCTTATTATATAATTACTTTTTCGCTGTTCACAAACTTTTGAAAAATTTGTTTTCAACAACTAAATATTTTCTTTTAAATAACAGTTTTTGCTGTGACTTACCGCTCTGTAAACATATGATATTTTGCTTGTCTGTGAAAGATTTTGACGATTTTTAGTTAAAGATGCAGTTTTACTATTTTAAATAAGATCTTTCGATTGGTGTTAATTTATATTTCGTTTATGTAGTCATATATTATATTTTATTATTTACATTTATATTTATAATTGCATTTATGTACATATCTAGTATTTATAAATTTTATAATCTTTTCCAGCTGAACATAATTTTAAAATTGAAGGGTGCTAAGGGTTGTGTGAAACACGTGTTGAGAAGCATTTTTGCCGACACTCTACTCATTTCATACAATTATGAGGGCAAAGCCAACAAAGCTCCACTTCTGGGGCTAAAAACAATAGAATTAGTTTTCGGTAAATATGTTTTAATTGTTTATTTTACTTATTTCAGGAAGTAATGCATTTATATTTTTCCAACAGATGCGTTTGTGAGTATGCCCAAAATTGACCTCATTGCGGAAATCAGAAAGCACGTGTTCCTAAGCCACAATAGGTACAAACAAATTGTAATAAAAAAAAAAAATTAAACATAATAACAAATCTAACAATAATTAATTTAATTGTCTTATTATTAATCTCTAAAAAAATGTAACATAAAAATTTAATAACTTTCCAATCTAAATTTCAAAAACGTTATTTAAATACGGCTATTCGGGATTTTTTGTATATCGACTGCGGAGTGGAAGATCGACCTCGGCAGCCAGTTCGAAAATGCCCTATCTCAAAAAACTTTTCAAGAACGCCCTATTTCAGAATTTTATTAAAAAAACGCTTCCGAGTTCGGTTCAAAAAGGCCCTATCTCACTTCAAAATGTATTGAAAATGTGCTGAGATAGGACGTTTTTGAAACGAATTCTAAAAAACGAATTGAAAAGTTTTTTGAGATAGGATGTTTTCGAGCTGGCTGCCGAGATAGGTCGATCTTCCACTTAGCAGTTGATATGCTCTTGAATTCTGTATTTGTGGTTTTTGGTAGGTAATGAAGTAAACTTTTATATTGTATTGCTGTAAGAAATTTCACTACATTTTCTACCAAAAAACCACAAATACACATGCAAGGGCATATACAAAACATCCCGACT